GTGCATGGTCTTGATACATATCCGCCCAGTCAAAGCCACCAATAGTCTCGCCCTCGGCTCCGCGTGACCTGCAGCGGCCTTCACATGCCGTTGCCGACTAAAAAATGACCGGCATAATCGCCACCCTTTTCCACGAACGCCGCCTATCCGCAGCGCACTGCTTGGCGGGAGTACGGCGCGCCGCCTGCTTTAACCGCCGCAGTCCGGCAGTCGCTCACTAGTAGGTAGAAGTGATGACGTCCGCGCTATCTATTACTGCTAGCGAACCCCGTCCAGTGTCCCGCGGCGCAATGTATTAATTTGGCTGAAACTCCACTAACGTACTCAGTGCCAGCCATCTCTAGCCTGTTTCTACTCGTGTGCACCTTCCTACTCGTCTACCCCTTCTCCTCATCCTGTTGGCCTTGCCTCCTTACCGTGTTGCGTGTCTGTTGACACAGCGCCACAGAAAGCACAACCATCCACATCTTACAAGCGAGCGCCTTCACGTTCGCACTTCAAAAAAAGCGCGATCTATCGCGCGTGTCCTATTTTACTGTCCCTCGGTTCGTCCACCTTCCATCACCACGCACCGACGTCCAAGACGCCACCATACTCATTGCGTAAACATCAAACGCATTAGCCGCCGCAACATAATCGACAGGCGAAACGGACGAAGGAAACAACATCCCAAAAAACAAAACAAAGACTCGCCGCATTTCTCAACGCCGGGAGCCACACCGCCGAGAGAGCACTTCGTCTTATCGCCGCACTTACATGCTGGCCGCATCTATCAACCTACCAACTAGCACACACTGCTCGCACGTCCTACATTACGCCGCACGGCAGTCGTTTTATCCGAGCGAACATAGGAAAGCAATACAACGACGGCGAAAAAATGAATAATAAGCAAGACGCATCGTTTTACTGCTATGCGCCCGCTGTTTCAACAGTTTAGCTTGTCGAACGATGGATACGCACTCTAAGCATGTGGCTGCATATCGTTTAGAATGATAAACGGAGGCCAGACCCGTGCAAGGTGCCGGCGCTCCAGTGTCTCGCCCGCGTCTCCTCTTAGTTATATTCCGGCAGTCTTCTCCATCCTTCTGCACAGGAGTCAGCTGGTCTGGCCCTCTTGGTGGTACCTCGGCGCCTTCGCCCTGACATTCTCAATAATCAGGCCAAGCTCAGCACGCTCCTGGTCAAATATTGCCTCTCTTGTCTCCTCATGGTCCCCCGAATATTTAATATCGCGCACTAGCTGAGGCCCACGCTCTTCGAAGCCGCGATCGGCTAGATAATAAATTCAAGCAGTGAGATACCAAATCAATCAGAAACCACAAGGCCGCCTCGTCTTCAGTGGTGGCACCGGTGATCTGATACTCATAAAAAAAAACTCCGAACAGCTACGCCATGTTTTGAATCACCTCCGTCGACCCGCAGTAAGTAATTGCCCTGGCCTTCCTCCTTCCCGAATGGCCTCAAAGTGGGCAAATGGACGCAGAAAGGTCTCCTCTCGGCCTGTTTGTCTCTTTCCGCATGTGCGAGCTTCTCCCCGCGCATCATGTCCTATTTTACACGCGTACGCCTAGGCGCGCCGCTACTACTCATATACCGCATCGCGCGCGCCGTCTAAGTGCACAGAGCTGACCCAATTCCGCAACGGTTTGCCGAGCTTTCTGCGCTCCGCGTCGGCCGACACGGCTCCGCTGGCCTATACTTTGGCTATTCCGGCGAGACACAAATAACGCAAACGCCCACCATTTATTTTCCTCCAACTGAGGAAAAGCGCAGGTCTATTTGAACGCCAGACGGTTTGATAATTCGCGCGCCATCTCCAAAGACAACAAGGGGCGCGCCGTTTTCTGGCTTCGTTATACTACCGGCAGTCTTCTAATCTAGTTAAATGATCTCACGCCCACTATTCTCTTTGACGCGCGCAGGCTATGACTAAGGAAAAACGAAGTAGACAGACTGAACAGCATTAACAAGACCCGAAAAAAGAAACATAAAAAATAAAACTTAACACAACACGACCACACACCCAAAAAAAAAAAAAAAACATCTGCGCCATGTCGTGGCAATGAATTATGGTAAGAGGAACGCGCATTAACATCAAGGCAACTCCTGAGCCCACTCCAGAAAACTACGCCCGGCTCCCGTCAAACGCGAAGCATAGAAGTTGGAACAGTTGTCCGTCGAGGTCCCTGATCGTTCGCGCTTGAAGAGGAAGCTGCGCGCCAGGCTGTGGCAAACGCTCCCACGCTCATCTCTCGTAGTATGGGTCAAGAGCATGGCCAAAGGGAGCAGAGGTATAAGCTAATAACATATAAAATCAGCAGCGACACTACACGCGAGCACGTATTACACATCACGAGTCCACCAACGCTCCCCCATTGACGACACACACCGCCGCGCCTTCCATCCATTCAGCTATATTCGATATCCTAACGCCTTCTATCAGCTTTGGCGTTCGTGTGGCAGCTGCCACGTGACTAATCGCGCAGACGCAGGCGCCATCCTTGTCTTCAAACGTCCCAAAGCTTTTAAAGTGGCCAGACATGACGCCCAGCGCCAGTATTCAATACTATTGATAACACGCCTACTACGTCGAAACGCCTACGGAGGTGATCTCGGCCAGGCAAATACTGGGCAACTCTTTCCGCAGAGAGATACCCAAGGCGAACGGACGCCCCTGGTCGCGGAGAACGCCACCTGATCCACACGGTACGATTTGCACCTGACCAACCTAGTGACTCGACGCAACTCAGCGCGAGAGCCTCGCGAATGGCGCACCAGCATCGAAGCTACGTATGCCCGACGACCGCGCGCCGGCTCTACAGCGACGACCCGTCTATATTCCATCCGATATACGCACGCGCGCTTCTTATGTACTGGAGAAGCTTAAACAAAAGCAGTGGCGGCAGCCTTGATGCCTGGATGGTCACACACACGCGACCCCCTTCGCGCTGTAGTACACCTGCAGACCATCAACACACACTGGCTCAAACCTGATAAAGGAGAAGAAAAAAAGACTTCCACTCTTTTCTACCTTTACTAAGCACTACGCGTAGCGAGTTCCACCAGATGGGCGGAAATTTTAAAGCTCACGCGATAAGGATAAAGCCAAAGCCTTGACGGTTTGAACCCAAAAAATTGAGGAAAATCCGTAGAATTGGTTCACCCTGAGTCTTAAAGTGCCAAGCTGAAAGCCCACACCTGACAGCTCAAAGCTGAAGACCCAAAGTCGAAAGCCCAAGCCTGAAAGCTCAAAGTTGAAAACTCGAAGCGGAAGGCCCAAAGCTGGGGTCTCAAGGTTGAAGACTCAAAGCCGAAAGCCTAAAGCCCAAAGCTGAGGGCTCAAGCCTCAACGCTCAAAGTTGAAAATTGAAAGCTCAAGAATGAAAGTCCAAGGCCGAAAGCTCAAAACAGAAAGCGCGAAGCTGAAAGCCCCAGGCCAAAAGCTTAAGGCTGAACGCTTAAGACGAAAGGCCGCGCCTCAGTGAATGTCTCAAAGCTTCAAGCTTGAGACTGGAAGCCCAAGGCTTTTGACTATATCCAATAAAAACGAAATTGGAAAAATTCCCATCCGAAGTTTTTGACTGTGTCACAAGATAGAAGAAGAACCTCGACAAGCTGCAAGCTCGAGCGCTGCAACTTGCACGCAAAGAAGGCCAAACCTACCAAAAGAAGAGCACACCGACAAGCCAACGACTTCGGTCTGTACCTTTTTAATCAATGGCCGCACGCCGTCCCCCGCCCAGCTCTTGTTCCAACGATCAACGCCGCGAGACGGTGCCTCGGCGGGCGGGGGAGGAGCCGGGGAAGCGAAATCGCGCCGGGGTTGAGGAAGTGCGTGCCGGGGGTGGGGGATGATCCTAGTGGGAGGAGTGCTACCGGGCGACCAAGTCTAGTAAATTGCCGTAAGCGTAACCGGGTGCCAGTCTCAGACTCTATGATCAACTTCACTTGATGGCCATCGGCTCACTCTACATGAGCAAGGTTCCTACTCTAGCACTATTGATCAGGTACATGCACACACGTACGCACTCACTCAGACGCTTGGTCCTCTTTTTAGTACCTACCAGTTGGCCGCATCTTCATGAGTTGTATGGCATGCGCTGCTTGATGATCACGCTGCATATTTTTCTCATGAGAAATTGGTCTTGGTTTCTCGTCGACCTCTGACCTTGGTTTTCTATTTCGTTTGCAATCTGTATCTTCACCACTTCAGTCTTGTCTCCTCTTTGATGCTCTGGATTAGTGTCTTCATGCCATTGACTCTGGGCCGAACGCACCCAGAAGTTCTTACGCGCCCATGCTCTTAAATGGGTGTATTAAATTCTTGGTCTCTTGGTTCTCACCATCTAGAGCAGTATCTCTTGCGCTTTTTGTGTGACTCTACTCAGGATTGAGCACTCCGATGTCCTGAGTCAAATATTCTAGCTCTGTATGTCGCGCCGCCCGTCATACACGCGTCATTCTTTCGTGGGAAGGGTGCTGCGCGTGTGCGTCGAAAGAGCTTCTAAGACATTGGCGCCCTTTCTCTGTTTTGAAAATGGACAGAGTTGCTTCCAAACAGCATGAGAAGATTTGTGATTTCCTATTTCGAGACTAGATGCCTTTCGTCTGCCTTGCTGCTCTATGGTAACTGCAATAGTAGGCACTGGAAGTGCGGGTATCAGCGAGGTAAAATTATCTCTCTCGAAGTTGCGTGCAGTTTGAAACAATGCCAAAAATGCTATGGCACGCTGGAAGGATCGGTCAATCGCACAGATCTCTCAACTATTTCAGTTTTCACGTTCAAATTGGTCCTGCACACAGCAAGGTTATTCCATCATGAATTAGCTCCAGTATCCTCATCACGCCTCTGGCAGTTATCAGCCAGTATTTAGACGAAGCGCCGTCATCATCGCACTATTCAGTAACCGTTTTTGCACTACGCTTCCTCGGAACACTCAACGTAGTAAAGGACCACTGAAGACCACGAGGAACCATCAGGCCGCAGCATCTTTTGGAAACTGCAGATAAACCAGGATAACACGCGTTGTCTATAATACATTTACAATTCTGAGTCTCGTTCACATAAGATGCGCTGTTGATAAAAAATATCGCCACGAAAGGAGCACTAGAAGGCAGAAGTCGCCGACTGTGTCTCGAGAAATGTCCTCTAGTCCCGAGGCTCTGCATACAGCGAACATTTTTGTAAAAGAGAAACGAGAGCGCTTCTTCAGGTCATGGTGGGCCCACATATGCCCCTCTTTCATGATTAAAAAAAAGCGGTGGACCATAAAGAAAATCAAATTGAGACTCTTCTGGACGGGTGGAAAAAAGAGCAGTTAATGCTACCGAATTCGCAGCGGCTGTCCGGTCCGCGAGGACTGCCCGCTTCGCATCGAGGGTTTCTTTCGCGCGTTGACGGTTATCTTTTGCCGCTTTAACCGCTTCTCGATGACGATGGTCGTATGTTTTCCTATGAGGGTCGTTAGCTGCTGGCCTCTTTTTTTTGTGTACTGTATCCCAAGGAAGCTCGTCGGGGTATTTCTCTTCTAGGAATTTCGCGACGTAAAGATTTCCCAACTCTTGGTTATTGTCGCGACAAATGAGCTCTCCATAATCATCCTTGTATGCATTCACGCATTTCTCCACATTTATCCTGCTCCATTCACAAAAATCTTGTTGCATATTGTCTATTGCTGTGTCGTGCTTGTCATTGTAATCATAGGGAAGAAGCGTGACGCCTGAAAAGTTGGCTACGATTATGTCGTTCTGCGGATGAGGTTCCCACTTCTTGCGGTCTGACGCCAGCCTAAAAAAGCTTGGGCTGGGTCCACATAAGTGTGCTGAAACACGCTTGCGCCCTTCTTTAGGGGTTTGCGACATAATAATCTTGTTGACGCCTTTTGTTAGCTCTTTGTCCCCGGGGGTGCAGAACGCTCTGTTATTTTTGCCAAGTTTATAGCCGTCGAGTTCCATTCTCACGCATAGTGCGCCAAGATCTTCGAGAGCCGCATACCGGCTATTGACGTGCTTTTCCAGAGTCGCCTTGTCGTATATTTCATCGTCCTCGTCCATCTGAGTTAGAGGCAAAGGCTTTGCCGAAGAACTCTGGCTTGTGTTGTTTCCTTCTTTGGGCTTACCATTTTGAAATAGCGTTGACACTGGCTCTGGCACCACAGATAGGAGTCCCCTATATTTTTTTAGCTCGTCCGCCGAAGGAGGCGCGTCGCGGTAGAGGAGCCTGATGTCTACCCCCGAATACTTCATCATATTTGGAGCGACCTCTTTCCCTGATGCTATGTTTGCCTTCCATGCTTCGTTCCCCTGGAGCTTTTTCTTGGTCAACTCATTTTTTATAGCCGCAGGCTTAGAATGTACATTGACGTACCATCTTGTATAAAATTCTCCCGATATTCGTCTACTTGGCTTGCATCTCTGCGCACCGTAGTACCATTCTGGGTCTTCGTAATACTCTCGTGAAATAGCCAGATCAGGAATATCAGGTGGCACAATCTCTTGCCAAGGATTCCCGGAATCATCAGAAGAGGCAGCTTGACCATTCATGGTAATATCGATCTGCGGACTCGCACTTGCGCCTGCACCACCAGCAGAATCCTCGTGTACTGCAGTGCTAGCTGCATTTCCAAGCAAATCACCTCCTGTTGCAGGTTGTACTGCAAGACTGTCTGTGCTTCCAAGCAAACTACCTGCAGTTTCCGCAGCTGAAGAGTATGAGAATTATGTAAATCGAGAGTCAGTCGGTCAGCGAAAAAGCGCACGCTTAACATGGCTTGCGGATATTAGTCTCTCGTCATGAATGGTAGAGTAACCATTAAGTGCAAAGACACGACTGTTGAAATCCCGGTGGTTGATCACTAAGTAATGATTCTTCCGACTTAAATATTACCTCAGTAGATTGATTATGATACATAGGAGAAAATATAAAAATTATATATAAATAAAATCATCAAAGACTACCTGGCGCATTCCCTTCAACGATTTTCCGATCCCATCTATCAGCAAAGTGTTCCTCCCACTTTTTCCGTCTGGGGGTTCGGCTTCGGCTTCGATCGGAGCTTCCGTGCTGCTTCTTCTTCTTATTCTTGTTCTTCAAACTGGGGCGGCCCTCCGCAGCAGATAGCCTTATCTCTGCAGCTTCGCGTTCGCTTTCCGACGAAGACTTGACGTCGGAGTAACTCCCCATCTCAGATTCCTCCTCATAAATCGACAGTCGCTCCAGACCTGCAAGCTCCTCAGTACTGATCATTCCTGAAGATTCGAGGTCGTCGTCCCCGGATTCAACGGCCGGCCCCATATTGTTTGCATGCTTTTCGAAAATTGCACGCTTTTCGCGCGTGTTGCCTTTCGAGATGAGCAATTCGGCTTCACTCGGTACCGCTTCTCCTTCAGAGGAATATGCTGGCTTGTGCTTGCGCGCATCTTGGAATAGCCTGCTTGCGTCGCTGCCTTCCAGAATCGAGAACCGACTTTTAATTGCGAGGAGGCTTTCTCGACCGTAACAGCCGCTGCCATCGCAGTACTGTTGGGAGAGCGCCATTGTATAGTAATCTAGAGCACCTGCTGCTGACTTCGCTGAAGCAGTGGCTGCCATCGCTTGATAAAAATCCGATGGGCTAGACAGAGTCGATCCTGCCAAGCCGCAACCCTTCATGGCATAGAGCGCAGCCCGCGCTTGACAATCCGCACACGGTGTTCCATCGGCATTGCGCATGTTGCCGTTGTCCACGTAGTCACTCGGCATCGTTAGTCCTACAACTCTCACGTCCTTGCCACTGCTGTCTTGAACGGTGGCTTCGCCAGGTCTGAGCGGGAAAACATGTCCCAGCCCGTCTGCACGATCGACCACAGCTTCCACCAGATCATGCCCATTCGAGTCTTGAACTCCCGGAAGAGTGCGAACGCCGGTTACGCCGCGCTCGGCGCACAAAGCTGCGAGCGCCGGGTCCTCCGCCTTCATCTGCTCGAACCGATTCACTGGCGCAGTGACGAACTCTGCGGCTGGCGGCTCTTTTCCCAGTGCTTTCCACATGGTCTCGGCACGTGCCTTGTCGTACATTGCGCCTCCGAATATCCGCGGCGGATCCTCTGCCAGCGCAGCCACAAATTCCGTGTGCGTAGGCGGCAAAAACGTGTACTCGCCTTTATCGTTTTGTACAAGAGTGCCGAGTCCCCCGTATTCCAAGTTCAGGCTGCGCGCGTCTTTAGCAATGCCGCCGCTGGGCAGCTGGATATCCTTGATTGGTGGGTCGCGGTTGTGGACGTCTCGCAAGTCAATCGCCGTCCCTTCCTTCTCCATGAATTCACGCACCTGCGCTAGTCCGATCTCGAGGCGGGCAAGAGACTCTTCGACTGTTGAACCCGCACCGTTGCGGAGGCTGCTCGAGCCGTCCAGCGTCAAAGCCTCTTCCTCTTTCTCTTTTCTCAGAGCCTCCGCATGCTCCTCTCGGGTCGCGGCGTCCGCCTCTGCAACGAGCTTCATCATCTTGGCATTCACGTCGCTGTACCAATCTGTGAGCAAGCGATCTATGGGAAATTCCATGAAGTATGTCGCGGACCTCGTAACCGAGCTTATGCTCTGTCCGACATAATTGTTTACGATTTCGAAGAGTTTTTCGTCCAGCTTGCTAGCGAGGAGCGAGGCTTGACGCTCTAGCGCGTCTGGGTCCATGCCCGCTGTTTCGCCCGTACCTTGGTTATCGGGCATTTCAAAGTCGTCGCGAATTCTCTCGTAACTGACAAGATCCAGCAAGAGCCGCGCAAGCTCTTTTCCGGAGTTAAGCATTTCCTGGACCTCTTGCAGGGTGGCATTCAACTCTGACAGCTTCTGCATCGTCCGTACGCCGCCGCTGAGCGCGACAGAATCCAAAAACGATTCGTTTGCGAACGTCCTGGCTCCGCCCCCCGCTGAGCTCGCGACGTAATTGTCAGAGACATCGTTCGCGGTCAGCTCCCCGCTCATGACACCCTGCTGCGAGACCTGTCTGCTGATATGCAGGTCTTGGAGCTTCATGGCAAATTTTCGGCTGCGTGCAGCCAAGTTTCCTTGTGAGGCTAGTCTTATCAGGTCGCGATCGTACCTCACGTTCACTACGCGCCGGACGAAGGCCACGTCTTTGAACCTCGGAAAAAGCTCATTAAGGATACGACTTCGGAGTTGCGACTTCAACTGGCTGTAAACTGGATCTCTGGTGAGCATCTGGTGCAAAGAGTCGACGCCGTTTTTCACCGTCTCGCTTCCAACCAAAGCTTGTGATATCTTCTGTTGAACAAACTGCTTCATGCTACTGAAACCCACTTGCAACATGGTGATTCCGAATTTCTTTCCGCGTAAACCCATCATAGACTCGCCGCTCGCGGCGACCACAGGCTGCTGAAAGGCATCGGATCCGGGAGCTGTCAACAAATTCTGTTGCTCCTGCATGCAACCCGTGCCAAAGCTCGTAACCGCCGTGTCCAAACCAGCCTCCAACATCTGGGGTAGTTTCTGTTGGGAGAGCCATCGTTTTATACTGGGGCAAGACTTGTTCTGGTACGCGGAAAGGGCAAATTGCAGATCTGCTTTGCCCCCATTGCGAAGCATGCCGCCCGCGGCCGTATTGTCGATGCCGGGGACCAGCGAGAGCAGGATCTGAGCGACGCCGAGTGCCGCAATCTTGCTCGCGTGCAGCATGTAAAGCTTCGACTCTAGTTCGTAGATGTTCGTGAGTTGAAGATCGTCTATGAGAAATTCGCGGATCTCACGGAGCTCCTGCGCCGAGCGTGGCTCCCCAGCAGTGGCCTCCTCAAGAACCTGGACCAAACTGCGCACCGGATCGCGCAATTTCAGATGAGTCTCCAGTTTGAGCTTCCCAATGTCTTGCTTCAGCACGTTAAGTATCGCTTCCACCATGTCATCCAGTTGGTAGTCCGTGTGGTCGTCTTGCATCAGGTCCTTCACAACTGGGATCGTGTTTTGCAGGTGGAACCGCAAACTTTTGCTGACCTGTCGCTTCAAATTTGGGTCCACTGAAACAAACGAACCCTCGATCAGCTCCCGAATTTCGTCGAGCCTATCTTCGGTTTCCTCGGACTCGCTCCAGCGGTACTTATCGCTGACATACTTTGCACGCAAAGGTGTCAGGATCTGTAATCCGTGCAGGCGCTGGGCAAGCCTTTCTGCCAAGGAGGAGAGCATCGTATTGTTTACCTCCCCGTTTTTCGATGATGCAGGGCCGGAAGACGCAGCGGCTCCCGCATCTGCAGACTGGACCTGCATAAGCAGCTGATCGAAAAACTTGGCATCGGCGACAGACTGAGCGCTGCTTTGATCACCCTTCGCGCGGCTTACCTCGAATTCTGAAAGAATTTCGTCTCGCTCAAAAGAACTCACATCGACCCCACGCAACAAAATTTCGTCGCCAAGTCGTTTCCTCATCGCACCCAGAAGTTCCGTGGCCCTCGCAACAAGAGTTGGCAGTTGAGCTGTCTCATCAGCGACGTCCATCTGTGCAACGACCCACTTGTGGAGGTGCAGCTGTTGCTTGACACGGGGATTCACAACTTTTTCGTACACTGAGAGAGCCTTCTCCTGCTGTTTGAATGACTGCCCCGAGCGCGAAGTGCGCAAAGAGAGTGACCCTCCCTGAAGGACAAGATAATCTTCGAGAAAGTGACGGGGAGCGATTTGGAGCAACGGGATTATTTCAGATCGCTTGAACTTCTGAACCGTGTCTGAACGCGTTGCTTCGACATTGTATTCGAAGTGAGCATGTCGCGCAAAGCGAGAGCCAGTTCGTTGTCTGTTGCTGGACACAGCTGCAACACGCTCAATACTCTTCACAGTCACAATTTCGTTTGTATTTCGGATTCTGACCGCGGTGAGTTCAGGCCTAATTGCCAAATGCTCCTCGGGTACAAGAATTTCGAGCGCAGACGCAGCTGCCGCTTCCCGAGTACCGAGAAAAGACGTCTTTCGTGGAGGTGATCCTGAGTCGCGGAGCCCACTTTTCATGTGCAGCTGCGGCGAAGGCGCTGAACCCACGTCGTGCACGGGTTCCCTGGGAAACAAGCGGACCCAATG